ATCAATCCGCAACCCCGCTGAGGTCAATGCATGCAACACCTTATAGTCTGACAGTATGACTTTTTTATTCAATTAGCTGTCTGTATTTAAATTGGTCTTGACATCTTTAGAAGAAGCACATGCTGCATGCATTTTTGTGATTGTAACTGTGATAATGACAAATAGTAATGCTTACCTCTCTCATTTCTTTATGTCCGTAATGTACTTTTTTAGAAAAGGCCGCTCTCTCAAACTGACCCATCAAGATGCACTGAATACCATGTAAGACGCTTTGGATATCATAACAAACATAGACGAGTCAAACTGCACCGCGGATAAAAAACAATAACTCAGAAAGGCACATCAGAAATAGGAAGTAAGTTCAGTTCATACTGCTGACTAAGGAATTATGCTTATGTGTCCTCTTATAGCTACAGCAAGTGTCTAAAGGCCTGAGAGGGTTCAAGGAAGTCATGTCATCTTTCTCTTTAAGCCGAGAGACTTCCGGGGTTTAACCACAAGCTATTTTCTCAACCTGCTATTATTTGTCTCATACATTTGTTAGCTGTAAACTGAAAGAGGATAAAAAGAAGAGTTTTTCAGTGTAAAATCTTGCATAGAAATCTACATTAGTACCGTCAGATGTAATGACGGTCCATAATGACAGTGTTGTTGTACGTGGTATACTGCACTGTGCGTCTTTCAATCTTATCAAATGTAAATGTAAATTATGGTTGCCTTATTCTTGTTTTAGCGTGTATTGACAGCTTGGCCACAATTCTTCGTTCACACATGTTAAGAAAGGTCACTGTTTCTGTGAATGTGTGCTGTGGTGAGCGCATACTGGCAGAGATTTGCTGCCATCAACCGTTTCGAATTAATGATATGCAGTGAATGTATGATATGAAGTCGTAGTCTCCTTTAAAGAAATAGTTCACCCCAAAATGAAGATTTGCTGAAATGAACTCACCCTCAGGCTATCCATGATGTAGATGAGTTTGTTTCTTCATGGGAACAAATTTAGAGAAATGTAGCATTCCATCACTTGCTCACCAGTGGATCCTCTGCAGTGAATGGGTGCCGTCAGAATGAGAGTCCACACCACTCCACTCAAGTAATCCACACCACTCCAGTCCATCAAATAACATCTTGTGAAGCGAAAAACTGCATGGTTGTAAGAAAGAAATCCATCATTAATGCGTTTTTCATTTTAACCCTTGCTTCCATCTAAAATATGAGTCCTCTATCCAATATTTATTTCGTCTTGTCTGAATCAGGAGAGCTCAGTTCTAAACAAATATGTAGGTGAATTGTGATATGAGTGGACAACGGGGATGAACTGGAGGAAGTGTTATAATGGATTATGAACTCATATTTTGGCCAGAAGCGATGGTTTATACAGTAGTTAAAACATCTTGATGGATTCGTTTCTTACAAGCGCACAGCTTTTCACTTCACAATATTAACTGATGGACTGGAGTGGTGTGGATTATTGTGATGTTTGGGCTCTCATTCTGACGGCACCCATTCACTGCAGGGATCCAGTTGGCGAGCAAGTGATGGAATGCTACATTTTTCCAAATCGGATGAAGAAGCAAACTCTTGAATGGCAGTAAATTGTTAGCAAATTTTCATTGTTGGATCAACTATTCTTTTAATTTAAAGAATTCTGTGTGCTTTAAATGTGAATAAATCATGTATGTATAACTGAATATAAAGTTTATATTTGTTTTATCTTACGTTTGTGCTTTCTTGTAGACAGGTTGATGTCCGAGAACAGAAGACTTGCAGTGCCGTCTTACTAATCTCCATATCAAACCACTAGGTTAAAAATATACAATGCATACAAGTATAAAATCTTTAGATAAATACCCACCACATCCATCTGTAACTGATCGCAAAAGCGATGCCACAGGAATCTTGCACGCACGTTCTTATTTATGTATGGTCGAGAGCCATTTGTGCACTGACTGTGTTAGCATGCACGAGAGTTTTCCAATATTAATCAGAATTAGGTCATAATATGGTTTTGAATGCAAGCCGTTTGCTATAATGTGTGAATTATGTGCATGCAAACAAGGTCTCTGCTCAATTCACAATTAGCTAAAAGTGTCATTAGTTTTCAGCTATTTTCTGTCTTGTCATGCCCTCCAATGTTTTCAATTAGATTTGAATTAAAAATCGATTTATTGTGCAGCACCAAACTTTTTAAACTTCTTACCTAAGATTCCACAACTAGGCCTCATTGATTAAAACAGTTGTCTTCAACTTCAAAATAATGAAACACTTTTTACTTGCAGTGGGGTTTTCATCATCAACATTTTATCTGATCATAAAGTTGCACCTGTTAACTGAAAACTTCTGTTTCCATCTGCAGTTAAATACACGAACTACTGCAGTTTAGTGCAAATTAGAAGTTTAAATATAGGAAATAGTCAATTAATAATATTAAATTAAAGGAATAGAATTTGCAGAATTATTTCAGAACACTCTAATCAGACCAAATGTTATAAAATTATATTTTTATGAGCCTAAAGTATATTTAAATCAATATACTTTCATAACCTGCTTCCATTTTTGAGCATCATGAAATATACTGTTTGAGGTTTACAAAAACTGCTTTAGAAATGAAAAGTACTTACCTTTTTAGAAAGTGAAAGGAGAGATGATGAAGCTCTGAATAAAGTTCATGCTTCATCTTTCAGGTGAAGGATCCAATGATCACATGACTCACACACTCGCTGCCATCAGCTCTAAAAACGTTTTTTTTGTTTCCAAATAGTAGCTCAGTTTCCAAGAGCTAAAATCCATAAGCAAAGCTCTAATTCGGTAAAGAGAACTGCAGTGAACGTCAGCAGTGCCCTCTGCTGTAAAACACACTTCCGTATCAACATCCTCTAAACACAGTTTCACTATGACACATTGACACCTTTTCTGATTAAAACCACCAAACTTTACCATAAGAGTTTATTTGTTTGTTTTTACTTTATACAAAAGAAGTGTTGTTTTTATTTCCCTTTTCAGCAAAATAATAATAGAGGAAATCCATATAATAAAATATATTATTATTATTATGCTCATTATATTCATTACCTCAATTTGCATATTTCATTTAGTTCTCGTACAAAACAAAAAAAAAATATTATAAAATATAAGGTGACAGAATTTTAAAACCATATTTTTTATTATGATTATTTTGTGTTTTGTGTGAGAACTGTATAAAATATGTACATTGAAGAAATTAATATAATGAACATACTAATAATATTATGATTTTTTAATTGATTTCCTCCTAATACGTAACTCAATCATTCATGAAAAGTTTCAGGATTTCAGTCAAAGAAACTTTTTTTTTCTAAAGAGAAGAGAAGTTTATGACATAGCTTTAGTGGGGTCAAATTATGAAAATCAACTTCTGAGGACACTCCTGAGGAAAAAATATCCTCACAATTATAGTAAAATGTCGAAGACCAACTTCTGAGGACATTCATTAGGGCAAAATATTCTTACAGATATAGTGAAATGTTGAAAACCAACGTTTGAGGACATTCTTGAGGAAAAAAAATACCCTCACACATATAGTACAGTGTTGGAAACCAACTTTTGAGGACATTCATGAGGAAAATATATCCTCATAATTATAGTAAAAAGTTGAAGACCAGCTTCTGAGGGAAATTCATGACAAAATACCCTCACAATTACTGTAAAATGTTGGAAAACAACTTTTGAGAACATTCGTGATGAAAAATACCCTCACAATTATAGTAAAATGTTAAACCCCAACTTTTGAGGACATTTGTGAATCAAAATATTCTTACAATTATCGTAAAATGCTGAAAACCAACTTTTGAGGACCTTCGTGAAGAAAAATTTTATTACAATTATCGTAAAATGCTGAAAACCAACTTTTGAGGACTTTCATGAGGAAAAAAATATCCTCACAATTATAGTAAAATGTTGAAAACCAACTTTTGAGGACTTTCGTGAGGAAAAAAATATCCTCACAATTAAAATGTTGAAAACCAACTTTTCAGGACATTCGTGAGGAAAAAATATCCTCACAATTATAGTAAAATGTTGAAAACCAACTTTTGAGGACATTTGTGAAGAAAAATGAATAAAAATATTCTTACAATTATAGTAAAATGCTGAAAACCAACTTTTAAGGACTTTCATGAGGAAACAAATATCCTCACAATTATAGTAAAATGTTGAAAACCAGCTTTTGAGGACATTCGTGAGGAAAAAATATCCTCACAATTATAATAAAATGTTAAAAACCAACTTTTGAGGACATTCGGGAATAAAAAATATTCTTACAATTATAGTAAAATGCTGAAAACCAACTTTTGAGGACTTTCATGAGGAAAAAAATATCCTCACAATTATAGTAAAATGTTGAAAACCCAACTTTTCAGGACATTCGTGAGGAAAAAATATCCTCACAATTATAGTAAAATGTTGAAAACCAACTTTTGAGGACATTTGTGAAGAAAAATATTCTTACAATTATAGTAAAATGCTGAAAAACAACTTTTGAGGACATTCATGACAAAAATATCATCACAATTATAGTAAAATGTTGAAGACCAACTTTTGAGGACATTCATAATGAAAAATATCATCACAAATATAGTAAAATGTTGAAAACCAACTTTAAAAACCAACTTTTGAGGACATTCGGGAATAAAAAATATTCTTACAATTATAGTAAAATGCTGAAAAACAACTTTTGAGGACATTCATGACAAAAATATCCTCACAATTATAGTAAAATGTTGAAGACCAACTTTTGAGGACATTCATAATGAAAAATATCATCACAAATATAGTAAAATGTTGAAAACCAACTTCTGAGGACATTCATGACAAAATATCCTCACAATTATAGTAAAATGTTGAAAACCAACTTCTAAGGACAAAATAGCCTTAAAAATATAGTAAAATGTCAAAAACCAACTTTTGAGGAAATTCATCAGGAAACATATCCTCAAAAATATAGTAGAAAACCAACTTCCAAGGACATTCATAAGGAAGGAGGAGGACCTCACAAATAGTGTTTGTAATGTAGTTTCTGTGATCTGTGCCTGTGTGTTTTTGCAACAGCAGCAGCAGCTCTGATGAAGTGGTGTGAAGTTTGAGGAAGTCAGTGACATGCGTGGGGTGTGTCCAAAACACTCACGTCAGGACTTCAGCTCACACTCTGACAGTTTGGATTCGTATGAATTAAACAAACACCGGATGACAGAGAGTGAAAGCCAGAGAAATCTGCACTGAACATCAGCTCATGCTCAGGTCTGTGACACATTTACATTTTCATATTTCAATTAGAGATTCTGACCGTTTCAAACCTTGAAGTCACAGTGTGTAGCATTAAAAAGGAAGTTCAGTGGATGCTGATGTGGTGCAAATATCATTAGATGTTTCCATTTTTCATTTGACTTTATTTTAATGGTGGTGTGGGCAGAAAGAGTCAGAAATATGAGGCATTGTCTGATATCAGGTGATGTGCATTTGTATGGATGTTGTGGGATGATTGTTGTTGTCAATCATGATTCATGAATATTGAGCTGATGCTGTAAAACATGACCACAATATTTAGCTGTTTGATTTAAACAAATTGTTTAGTAGTTTAATAGTAGAGCAATGCTCAGAATTAAAACGCAATGCATTTCCTTTAAAAAGAAACTTCAACATAACTTATTTCCTCTTCAAAACATTTTTTTTATCATGGCAAAGTGTGAATGTTCAACACCTTCAGAATTTCCAACACATACTGTAACATCTCTGAATCTGATACCACATGACAGGAAACCAAAGTTGTGGTAGATGGTTTTGATGCATTTAAGAGACATATAGTAGTTGATAGTCAATGTATAGTAGTCAACATTTTTTTGTAGAATTCTCTTAGCGAAGCTTAACCAAGCTTCATTTCACTTCCTATTTTCTTTTAGACACTGAAAAACGCTGTGAATGTTGTCATTATTTTAGCCTGTCACGTTTTCTGTCCTGTGACTCAGAGATCATACGGTAACACAGGAGTAAACTGGTTCACACATCAGACATGGAGCATGTCCAGGTAGGATGTTGCATTAGTTGATGTCTTGCATTAGACAAGTTGCATGTGCTGACGTGTGTTTGGTCATGAACGTCATGTGCTTTTACTACTGCTGTCTGTAATATGAGAATTTATGTATGAAATGTGACAGAATGCTATTTTAGAATTGATAAAAGCACTGAATGTTTTGAATTAAACTACATTTAAGCTGTTCCCAAGACAGTTATGCTTACAGTCAGATAAAGTTATATAATTAAATAAATTTTAAGTGATCAACAGACTCTAATACTAATAATAATAATCGAATGCAGGTTCTTGTTGTTGTTGTTATTGTTATTACTAATTTATTTACTTAACTTTTATTTGTTTTAAGACAAGCTTACTTTCAGACAGTGCTAGGATTTATATAATTCTTATAATAATTATTAATAATAATAACAACAAGAATAATAATAATGATTTATTATTTTATTTTTTTCATACATTTTTTGTTTTAACATCTTTAACAAAACTACATTTAAGCTGCTTTTAAGACATTTAAGCATAGTGTGAGATAGTTCTATATAATTATAATAGTAATAATAATAATTAATCCCACATTATTATTATTATATATTTTTTAATTTTATTTTAGAGTCTGCTGAGCATTAAAATGACTTTTAGTTTTACTTCATAACATTTCTTTGTTTTAAAAATATTCAAACTCCTATTTTTAAAAAATATTTCCAAGTGTAAATGTAAAAACAAAAACAAAAAAATTCACGGATTCTGTTCTCTGACTTTGATTACCATATATCAGGAAATGATTCATCCCTAGAATTCACAATTTTCATGTTCTCATAGTTTATTATTGAGTCATTCATTGATTTCCTTTGGCTGCGTAACGTTCCTGCCTGAACTTGAATGTATTATTTCTCCTCCATCTCACTACGCAGCTAAAAGTCTAAATAGCTAAATGACAGCCTATGTAGAGATGTCAGGTGACACCAGTACGTTATCATGGAAACCGCCTCCTCCCGGTCCACTGCAGATGCCCGCCGGTTCCATCGAGAATAAATGGACGGGGCCGGTGAAAATCCTCAAAGTGTGCTTCATCAGCAACAGCTCCAACCTGGGCAAGAACTTCAAACTGGTCAAATGTGAAAGTTCCTGGAATATCAGGGTGAGAAGATGAACGTGCATTGTTACACATTAATCATGACTGCAATATGAAGCATGTTATCAACACAACTTGCTGTTGTTATAATGAAAGATCACTTTGAGTTAAGATTTTTTGTATCGTTTTCATGATGAATGTTAAATAAAATCCAAATGTCATAATGGAGAAAATTATTTTCTTTCATTAGTAAGACGTTCCTTTCATGACAATGATAATTAAATTAAAGTAATGCAAAAAAGCTCTAAACATATAGTCTTAAATATGAAATAAATCCACTAATGTATAAATGTTTGATTTAAATGATGATTTCATTTTGCAGAGAATTATTCAGTCCATCCTGGACAGTGGACGACTCGGCCCCAACATCAAGTTCTCAGAATGCTACGGTCTGCTGCTCAAACACCTCAAATCAGACGAGGTTCACTGGCTGCACCCAAACCTCACCGTAGCAGAGGTGGAGCAGAAATATGAACAGCAGCACGTCGAGGCAGAGTGGAGGTGTGTGCGTGTCCCACATGGCAGAAATATTTTTAAAAAAAGTATTGCTAATTTTAAACTATATTGCAATAATGTATTTTCATTATGCTCATATTTCATCTTAAGTTTTGGCCATTTTTAATATATTTTCAGTCTAAATATATTAACACAACCGTTCAAAAGTTTGGAATCGGCAAAGAAGTCTCTTCTGCTCACTAAGTAAAATTTTACACAGTAAAAACAGTAAAATTGCAAAATGTTATTGCAATTTAAAAGAACTGTTTTCTATTTGAAAATATTCTAAAATCTAATTTATTTCTGTGATCAAAGCTGAATGTTCAGCATCATTCCTCCAGTCTTCAGTGTCACGTGATCCTTCAGAAATCATTCTAATATGCTGATTTGCTGCTCAAAAAACATTATTATCAGTGTTAAAAACAGTTGTGCTTCTTAATATGGATGAGGAAACTATATCCTACATCAGTGATAGTGTATATCGTTTATAATATATATTTTTTAATGCATTTTGCATTATCCCAAATTCATTTTAATTCTTGCCACTTCAAGTACATTTTGTAATATACTTTGGCATTTGAAGGTAAAAATTAAATTTATATTTAAAGGGATAATTTACCCCCAAATTTAAATTCTGTCATCATTTACTTACCCTGAAGTTTTTCCAATCCTGTATGAGTTTCTTTATTCTGTTGAGATCAAAAGAAGATATTTTGAACAATGTTGGTAACTAAAAAGTTGACATATCACATTCACATTCAAATATAGTTTGAATGTGATATCTTCAAAACGAAACCGAACATTTAACGGTAGCCGTAGTTTTTCAATGGCTACCGTTAAATGTTCGGTTTCGTTTTGAAGATATCACATTCAAACTATATTTGGCCCAGAAGAAATATTTTGCCCTATAGTTCATGGAGTTCTTCTTACAGTGCTGGAAATCAATTTTGTATAGGTTCCTAATCCTGTTTTTGTTCTGCCGTCATGATCAGATATGACTTGAGGATCCGTTACATTCCTCCTGATTTCCTGGAGAAGTTAAAGGATGACAAAACTACAATGCTCTACTTCTACCAGCAGGTCTGTACCTGTCACATAGGGAGTGTTTCTTCACATTTACCACTCCATATCCTGAAACGGCACACAGAAAAGTGAAGGAAACATGAGTCACGCCATTTGCACTGAGGCGTTGTGGATGTTTGATGTAGCGCTGAAGTGTTAATGGTGGTTTGCACATCTAAAAGGCGAATGAAGGTGTGTTATTACTGTCGTTACGCAGGTTCGCAGTGACTACATGCAACACAGCGCGAGGAGAGTTAGTGACGGGATGGCGCTGCAGTTGGGCTGTCTGGAGATTAGGTATATTTATACAGATGAACTGATAATAATAATAACATTTGTTTGTATAGCACCTTACAAGAAATGCAGCTCAAATTGCTTTATAATAAAAAAAAGCATTACAGAAAGCACCAAGTACTTCACATGAAGTAAAAATGACATTATTCACCCCAAAATAAAAATGTACTGAAAATTGACTTAAAGCCGTCCAAGCTGTAGATGAGTTTGTTTCTTCATCAGAACAGATTTGTGGAGAAATGTAGCATTACATCACTTGCTCACCAATGGATCCTCTGCAGTGAATGGGTGCCGTCGGGTCCAAACAGCTGATAAAAACATCACAATAATCCACAAGTTAAAAATGTCTTCATTGATTTTTTTTTCTTACAAACACACAGCTTTTGGCTTCACAAGATGTTAACTGATGGACTGGAGTGGTGTGGATTACTTGTTGATTATTGTGATGTTTTTATCAGCTGTTTGGACTCTCATTCTGACGGCACCCATTCACTGCAAGAGGATCCACTGGTGAGCAAGTGATGCAATGCAAAATTTCTTCAAATCTGTCGGTAAATCAAACTCATCTACATCTTAGATTTCTTTAAAAGGAAACCTAATTTATAATGATAGTAAAAGAAGATCAAATAGGTGGTACACATTAAATGCATGACAAAATTTTTTAATTCAAACCAAGTAGTAATAAAAGTCAACATAATATGTATGTACACAATACACAGAATGCTTAAAAAATTATTTTCAGATTACATGCTTTTAATTTTTCCTGTTCTGACAGGAGGTTTTATAAAGACATGAATGCCAGCGGCCTGGAGAAAAAATCAAACTTCGATCTGCTGGAGTAAGTACTTTGTATCGTGCTTTAGATAGATTTACTCAAGAATATACACAATGCATTGATGGCATTTCTGCTCCTTTCAGGAAAGATGTTGGTCTGGATTTGTTCTTTCCTCAAGAATTAATCGACAGTATGAAGGTGAAAACATTTTCTTGACCTCTTTGAGAATAAAGCAGCATAGCAATCCAATACACGCTAACAGCTTTTGTAATTTATGATTAATAATGATGAAATATTGTTCATATATGTCTGGTGTGAAACAGCCGAAGCAGCTGCGGAAACTGATCCAGCAAACATTCCAGCAGTTTGCGCTGCTGAAGGAAGAGCAGTGCATCATCAAGTTCTTTGAGACATTATCTGTCTTTTCCAGTTTTGATGAAGAGGTTTTTTCTTGTGAGCTGGTGGTAAGATCCCATCATGGTGTTTTTAAGTTACAGCCATGTTAAAGCAGTAGTTGACCCAAAAATTAAAAGTTGCTGAAAATTTACCTTCAGACCATCAAAGATGTAGATGAGTTTGTTTCTTCAGATTTGAAGGAAGTTAAGGATCACTTGCTCACCAGTGGATGCTCTGCAGTGAATGGGTGCCGTCAGAATGAGAGTCCAAACAGCTGATAAAAACATCACAATAATCCACAAGTAATCCACTCCAGTCCATCAATTATCATCTGGTGAAATGCAAAGCTGCGTGTTTGCAAGAAACAAATACATAATAGCTTTTTCCAGCAAAGAAGTCATCTCGTCTGAATCAGGAGAGAAATCTGCACAGATCAAGCACCATTTACAAGTCAAAACAGTTTATATGTGGGTGGATTTTGATGTGAGAGACAACAGTGAATGGACTTTTTCCACTGCAGGAAACATTGTTATGGATTATGGACACATATTTTGGCTGGAAGTGATGATTTAAAGAAAAAATGCCTTAATTATGTCTGCACCAATGGCCGACATATAGCACCGTTGCGCTACGGGCGTCCTGTGTTTGAATCCCGGCTTGAGGACCTTTCCTGATCCTGCCCCCCTCTCTCTCCCACTTTGCTTCCTGTCATCTCTATACTGTACTATAATTATTAAAAAAAGGCAAAAAAATGCCTTAATTATGAATTTGTTTCTTAAACATGCAGGTTTTTGCTTTATAAGATGTTAACTGATGGACTGAGGTCGTGTGGATTATTGTGATGTTTTTAGCTGTTTTTGACGGCACCCATTCACATATTTTCAGCAAATTTGTCATTTTGGAACTTTGAACTATTCCTTCAGTGATGTGTGTCGTTTAATCTCTGAAGTAGTTGTGGTTGGACAGATAAATTCAGTGGCCCCAAAATGTCTTTAGACACTGTGGGCATGTATACAATCGTGTGAAAGCCACTGCATTACATAAGAGTTTTAAAGCAACTGTCATTAGCAATTAAATCCTGCAAAAACTTTTCCAGTGACTATGAAGTCCAAGTTCAGTACTTTTCATCTTCATTTTCAGTACTATATCTGTTTATTTTCCATCATACTGTATAAAACCCAACAAACATCTTTTATAAAGTGTTTTACTTGAAATTCCTTCCTGTGTTATCTTTCTGCAGCACAGATAGCATGTTGCTTTGCTATTTTGTTATCTAATGCGTGACATTGATATGAATGTGTGTAGATGATGAAGATGTTCATCAAGCAGCAGTTGTTGTGTAAAAGCTGCAGTTGTTGCTCAGTGTAACAGTTTATTCTTCTGTAGCAAGGATGGAGCATCTCTGTGGATCTGGTCATCGGGCCCAAAGGTATTCGGCAGCGTACAGACAAAAGCTCTGTGGTAAGAAGATCCCCTCACATACATCCATCCCACCGCTTGACCTATTCTCTAAAACACAGCACTCAATAACCACTTCTGTTTTGTCAGTTAACCACAATGGAAAAATTTTGCATCTGCCAATAGTCGTTGGTGAGAAATCAATAGTGTTATTTTAGTATCATTGGGATACTAATACTATTGAGATACATTATAGTTTTTATTAATATTCATTTTCATTTTAATTTAATTGTTAGTATTTTTTATTTTCAGTGTTTTTAATATGTCTATATAGTGTTTATTCATTTTTATTCCAGTTTTAGTGTTGGTTATTTTAGTACATTAAGCGACAGTAAACTAAGATTGGGAGTGTTTTACATGAAAATACATTTTCTTCAAGAAAATATCTTTCCACATCAAAATTTCACATTTAATGTGTTATTGGCTGTTTCTTTGTAATTAATTGTGAAATTTACTAGCTATTTCTGAGTAAAAAACTTTTTCAACAACTATATTTGTTCAGTGTAGCTGAAACCAGTTATATTTGTATGTGTATGTGTGTGTGTGCATATGTATATATATATATATATATATACTTAAATATAATAACCCTGTTATGTGCTCATGTATATTAACATTTTTTTTTATTTATGTCCTCATTAGCCGGTCTGTCTAGCCACATTTGCACAAATTCGAAGTATTAAATGCACACCTCAGAATGACGGAAAGACGCTGCTACATATAGATATAGCAGGAGCTAAACAGGTAAATGGATCCACACGTCTTCTTGAAATTAATGCTTGATTGCTATATAACATTTAACCTTTTCTCATGAAGATCATAATGATGCATGTTAAAAGATTTGATCTTTCTGTTGTCATTTTCAGCCTTTGTCCATCAGCATAGCCTCTCTGGCCATCGCAGAGAACATGATGTATTTAATTGATGGTTACTGTCGTTTGGAGCACGGAAATGAGACAACTTTAATAGTACACAAAGGTGTGTGGGTTTTATTATTTTGTATTACTAGGTCATGAAACTAACATCATCATGTATCTTAAATTGAGATCCACTAATCCAATTAATTATCCACTAATGAAACCAGTTCAAGTACTTCCTCTGCCTAAATGGTTTTTGACTTGCCTAATAAGTGCTTGACCATTACTAGTGTAGAAACACAGTGTGCGCTGTGATTGCCACCATACTAATAACAAACTATTGCTTATGTTTACCAGACAGAGAATCTAGGATCTCTCTCCCTCTTTTACCCAGCAGGTGAGCACTGATGTTTATATATATATATATATATATATATATATATATACATATATATAATTTTTTAATTTAATAAGTTAAGGTGTAATTTATTCCTGTGACCAAAACTGATTTTTCAGCATCATTACTCCAGGCTTCAGTGTCACATGATCCTTCAGAAATCATTCTAATATGCTGATTTAATGAAAAAATTATGTATTTACGTAATTTTAATATGTTAAAATTATATATAAAAGTTATAATTTTTGTATTTTATTTTTTTAATATAATTATATATATCATTTTTAATAAATATTATAAATGATTATAACTTATACACACACATATATACATATATGATAATTAAGACGGTTCTGTCTTATTGACCCTGTCTGATCTTATATTGCAAAACAGTATGGAAAACACCAGATCTGACAGGGAAAGCAAAAGTATGTAAAGCTAAATATAATATTGCAAAAATACTGCCTATAATATGCACATTTTTTATAAAAGATAGCTTAATCAATATAATGTTATTCCACTGTGTGTTTTCCCCCACAGATTCAGATATTTATGCAGAGATACCAGAAGATACACCAGTTCCGAGTAAGAACCAAATAATATTTTAAGAGACAGATTAATTGTCGTTTATCAATTTATTTGACATTTTGATCTCAAACACTTGTTTTCCAGCATGTAAATTCAGCATCTTACGAAACGACGTTGTACTCGGCCGGATTCTGGGTGAAGGTTTCTTTGGTGAGGTGCATGATGGGATCTATAAAAGCAAGGTTAGTGCATCAGTCACACACCTACAGGCCCAAATATTCAGCGAAACAGATCACAAGGATTTAGTAGAAATCACTAGAAACTTATTCAAGCTCAGCTTTCAGGACAGAAACCTCATGAATCTTGTGTCTTCCTCCAGACAGGAGAGCGAGTGAATGTGGCTGTGAAGACATGCAAGGACTGCTCAGCTGATGTGAAGGAGAAGTTCATGAGTGAAGCTTGTAAGATGTTTCAATCTTCCACCTGTAGAATCCAATACATGCCTGAATAGAATGATCAAAATCGTTGTTTTCATGCAGTGATCATGAAGAAACTGGACCATCTGCACATTGTGAGACTTGTAGGAATTATCGAGGAAGATCCCGTGTGGATTGTCATGGAGCTTTACCAGTATGGAGAGGTGAGATTCATTCATTTGAATGATTTCAAGCTTGTCTAGGTTTGTTCATATCCAAGAAAATTGGTAGCAATGAAAATCAGACAAAACTACTGAAGAATTAAGAATAGTTTTTTTTTTTTTGCCTGTTAAAGGACTCACCCTCAGGCAATCCCAGATGTAGATGAGTTTGTTTCTTCATCAGATTTGGAGAAATGTATTGCATCACTTGCTCACCAATGGATGCTCTGCAGTGAATGGGTGCCGTCAGAATGAGAGTCCAAACAGCTGATAAAAACATCACAATAATCCACAAGTAATCCACTCCAGTCCATCAATTAACATCTTGTGAAGCAAAATGCTGCATGTTTGTAACAAGCAGAACCATCATTAAGGTTTTTAACTTCAAGCAGCCACTTTCGACTAATGTATTAGTCTGTAATCTATAATAGACTGAAAGTCCATCCCCTGTTGTCCTCTCACATCAAAATTAACCCACATATTTGCTTTGATCTGTTTTTGCATATAAACAACGCTTGACCTATGCACGTTTCTCTCTTGATTCAGACCAGATTACCTTTTTACTAAAGAAAGCAATATTATGGATAGAGGACTAGTATTTTAGACTGAAGCATCAGTTTAAAGTTAAATTAACTAATGATGGATTTATTTCTTACAAAAATGCAGCTTTTAGCTTGTGGATTATCGTGATGTTTTTATCAGCTGCTTGGGACTCTCATTCTGACGGCACCCATTCACTGCAGCGGATCCATTGCTGAGCAAGTGATGCAATGCTACATTTCTCCAAACCTGATGAAGACACAAACTCTACATCTTGGATGGCCCGAGGGTGAGTACATTATTAGCTAATTATAATTTTTAGATGAACTATTCCTTCAACAATCACTCTTGCCTATGTCACAATAAGGGGTAAATCCGACTCATATTAGTACATTATGCAATATTGTTAATCAGACTTTATTATCATCCTGGTTTCTCTGTTTTTCTTCAGCTAGGAAATTACCTGTTGGAGAACAAGCACAAATTAACCACTGTCACACTGATCCTGTACAGTCTTCAGATCAGTAAAGCTCTTGCTTACCTAGAGGGCATTAACATGGTGCACAGGTACATCAGTTCACCTTGTGACCAACAGTTTATGCAATTACTGTGAATAATCAATACCTGTTTGGTTTGAAATTTTAAGGATTTGGTCTGGTTTGGTTATAGCAGACAGGCTGCTTATAAACATCTCTTCCTCTTGACTCTTCACTTACTTTAACTTCGTCTCAGGTTCAGAAGAGTGTCAGACACTCTTGTGGGTAAAAGTTTAGCTGAAGCAGAAGGTAAAAAATCAAGGTCATAGGTAGAGAACATTATATGGGACATCCGCACAACCACTCATTTTGCATTGTACGTCTAGTGTTTCTTCATAAAAATTATAATCTGAATTATAAAGCATTTGACTCTAATTTTATTTGTTCACTAACAATGTGCAATAATGGACGTACATGATGACTGAAGAAATCTGTTGTTTTTCTGCAACGTCATGAGCATTTCCACTTCATCTTAGATTGTATGTTGTTTAATAGCATTTTAAATATTTTTGGATTAAAGTGGCTCATGCCTTTGTTTTGCAAATTTCGCAGCTAAAATGTTAGGCATACTAAATGCGTGTAATTTTTTTCACACTTTGGGGAAATGACACACACCATTAAATGTTCTGTTAATGAATGATTTTTACCTTGAGGTTTTATCTTTTTTTTGGAAAGTCGTCTCTTGTGCTCAGCAAGACTGCATTTTATATGATAAAAAAATATAGTAAAAACTAAAAATTGTTAAATGTTATTACATTTCAAAATAAATGTTTTCTATGTGAATATATTGTCAAATATAATTTATTCCTGTGATGCAAATCTGCATTTTCAGCATCATTACTCCAGTCTTCAGTGTCACATGATCTTCAGAAATCATTCTAATATGCTGCTTTGCTGCTTGAGAAATATTTCTTATTGTCAATGCTGAAAAAAATTGTGCTGTCAAATATTTTTAAGGAGACCCTGATTTTTTTTCAGGATTTCTTTGATAGAAAGTTAGGACGTCATTTATTTGAAAAAGAAATCTTGTATCACATTATACACATCTTTGTTGAATAAAATTATTAATTTAATATCTTATTGACCCCAAAATATACACACACATGCTGTATATTAAATTTAGGACATACGATTATAAATTGCCCTCCTACAACATACATGCATTCAAAGTTCAACTGCATTTGCTTGTTGGTGTCTTCACATCTCCTTTTTGATAATCATCTGTATCTCATGCCTGTGGTTGTACAGAATCTATTTTAGTGGTGCATAATCAAGTTATTCAATTCAATGTTTTTCCATCAGGGACATTGCTGTGAGAAACGTGCTGGTTGCCAAACCAGACTGTGTGAAGCTGGGAGACTTCGGCTTGTCCCGATACATAGAAGAGGAGGAGTATTACAAAGGCAAGACTAAGACTGACTAGTCTGCTTAAACTTATGCAGTTTGAGTCTAATATTTCACTCTCTTTTCTTATGCCTAATGCTGTCAAATGACACTGTTTGTTTTCTCTCTGAAGCCTCCGTGAGTCGATTACCTATTAAATGGATGGCGCCGGAGTCCATCAACTTCAGACGCTTTACCTCGGCGAGTGACGTCTGGATGTTTGGTTAGTGACTTTGAAGCATGACGTGAGATCAATGCGTTTAAACATGCATGACGCATTATGTCACTTGCACAAAGCGTAATGCAGTCTTTTCAAAGCTCAATCACTGTTCGGATCACATTAGGCAACAGATCAACCTAATCGTGAGGATTTTTCAAGCCGTCATCATGATGTGAATTCTTATTTCCTGTTATCAGTCTTGTTGATTCAAAGCCGGTTCCTGTGAAGAGCCACATCTTTCCCAATGCCATGCATCTTGAAGATTTGCAATGCATTTCTGAAGCAGTTTATGGTTTCTGATTCTTGGCGGTTTCCTGTGCTTCTCCTTTCAGCTGTGTGCATGTGGGAGATCATGAGTGGAAGCCAGCAGCCGTTCTTCTGGCTGGAGAACAAGGATGTGATAAACCAGCTGGAGCAGGGCGTCCGTCTGCCCAAACCCGAGCGGTGCCCACCGACCCTCTACTCCCTCATGACCCGCTGCTGGGCCTACAGCCCCGTCGAGAGACCCAGCTTCGCAGAGCTTGTGTGCAAGCTGAGGTACATCACTGCTGCCCTAGTCATCAAAGATGTAAAGGGTCGTCAGTTTGAACCATTAAACGAGTCACAAGTATGCATTTCAGAGCTCAAAGCAGACCCAAAATAGAGCTTTTATTAAAAATAAGCTGTTAAAACTGCTTATTCTGTTTTTTTCACAAATTACCCACAGTACGCATCAACGGTACCTATTGACTCATCAGAAACTTATCACTAAATGCTAGTGCTGTCAAACGATTAATCGCAATTAATTGCATCTAAAATAAACGTTTTTGTTTATATAATATATGTATGTGTACTGTGTATATAATTATATTATGTATATAAAAATACACACACATACAGTATATATTTTGAAAATATTTACATGTATATATTTATATTCTTATATTTTATATTATATATAAATATATTTAAGATATAAACATAACATATTTTTCTTAAATATGCATGCGTGTGTTTATATTTGTATATATATTTAATAAATATACACAGTATACACACATATATTATGTAAACAAAAACTTTTATTTTGGATGCGATTAATCGTTTGACAGCACTACTAAAAACCAAATTATGATCTTGACTAATACTGTAATTGGACATTAAGTGGAAAAAATGAACATTAAAACTGGTAAATTTAAAATGTAAATGATAATCAAAAAACAATTTAAAAAATGTAAAAAATAATATAAATAAATAATATTAAAAAAATTAAACAGAAAATAAAAATGTAAATGTAGTAAAAAAAAAAAATGTAAATATAATAAAAACATAAAAAATAAATGTTAATAATAATAAATAACAATTCAGACTGACTAACAATGTAAGTGGATTTTGAGGGAAAGGTGAATATGAAAAATAAAATCAAAATGTAACAAATGAATATAAAAAAATTTAAAATGTAAAACAAATAATAAAATAAATATTAAAAAGGTAAAGATGTAAATAATACAAAAATATTTTAAAAATAAAATAAACATATACATAATAATAACAACAATAATAAATACAAACTGGCTAACACTGTAAGTGGACATTGTGGGAAAGATTAATATTTAAAAATAATAAATTAAAATTAAAATGTAAATCATAAAAATAAGAATCATTTTAAATATATAATAAAACTACAATCAATATAAATAAATATAAAATATATAAATAATAATGCAAAATTCAAATCAATCATAAAAATTAATAATAAAAAAAAATCTAATAAATATTACAAAATAAAAATGTAAAGAATACAAAAAAACATTTTAAAAAATAACAATAAAAAAAATACAAACTGTAACATGAAATGTTTCTATTTGCTTCCCACAGTGATGTTCATAAAATGGAGAAGGAAGTGAAGGTGGAGGAGCTGCGAGCCAGAACTCGCTCCATAAATATAACCCCGTTTACTGATGCTCCACCGAAGGTGTCTGTCTTTTCACTGTGTTTTTCTCACGCTGTTATTCTCGTTCTGTGTATCACACTCACTCCTTTTCTGTTCATCTTCATTCTTGTTTTGTGAAAAGCCATCAAGAATGAAACCATCAGGTTTCAGTACTCTCAATCCACGTCTACATCTCCAGGTGATTTTTCCTCCTATTAATTCTGTAGTTGTTTTAATTGCACAAAATGCAGCTTCTTTGTAGTGATAAGTAGATCAACTAATATGAACTTTTCTCATCAAATTTTCCCAAGATTAAACAAGTTGATATTTAAATGAAACTTCTATTATGTCTCCTGAGCAATGAAAGAGAAACCTCTGAGCAATATGTTTTACTCGGTGGGTGATGCTTTTAAAATTGGTAGACCGTAACTGTAAACTAGATAGGAGCTTCATGTTGGTCACGTCTATCTAGGTCAAGTCACACCATTTCCAGCAGCTGTGGTTTCGGCCTGCTTTTCTGCATTTGCACTCAACACCGCCATGTTATGCATGTCACTGTGTGAATATGTTTTAGCATGTGGTTTAGTTGTGTCTGTCTGTGTGTTCTTGCTTGCACGCCCAACTTTCCAGCTGCCCGAGTCTCTGCGCTTTAGTTCGCCAGCCCTCGCCAGCCCGCCAGACTGGCGCCCTGTGCTTGTGTCCGGCTGCACGCTGACCCTGCCGCCGTCCCCTCGCCGTGGCAGTATGGTAAGAGCGCCACCTGCCTACAGTACTGCAAACACGCTCCTGTGTGTTTAAAGGAGTAGTTCACCCAAAAATGTCAATTTGCTGACAGTTTACTCACCCTTAAGGCATCCGAGATGTAGATGAGTTTTTTTCTTTCTAATGAACAGGTAATGCTACATCACTTGCTTACCAGTGGATCCTTTGCAGTGAATGGGTGCCGTCATAATTTGTTTCTTACAAACACACAGCTTTTGGTTTCACAAGATGTTAACTGATGGACTGGAGTGGTGTGGATTACTTGTGGATTATTGTGATGTTTGTATCATCTGTTTGGACTCTCATTCTGACGGCACCCATTCACTGCAGAGGATCTGTTGGTGAGCAAGTGATGCAATGCTACATTTCTCCAAATCTGTTTCCATGAAGAAACAAAATCATCTACATCTTGGATGGGTGAGGGTGAGTAAATTTTCAGCAAATTTACATTTTTGGGTGAACTACTCCTTGAAATAAGTCTTTAAAATGCCAATGAAACATGCATTGCACTCACAGACTAAACACTGTCCAAAAATACCTAATGAGCTTTCTTTCCTATGTTAATGTATTTCTTGTTGAAACAAGAAGTTCAGGTGGGTACATATTAAAGGGCTCTTTTTTTTTTTAAGTAGCAAAGTGCCATTAGTTTAAATCACATTCTGTCAAAACCACCAACGACAGCTTGTGCACAGACGAAAAAAGACTCTTTCGCAATGAATGAATTTTAGCCACTTCCTTTGCAACCTATTCATGGCTTCTTTCCTTTCGAGAAAGGAAATTATAAAGTATGAATGTTACTACAACAAAGGACGCACAGATGAACCATGATTTGCTACCTGCTATAATTCAGGGAGAGGGACATTCTGATTCACTACATTTGCATTTATATTTATGTATTTGGCAAAGGTTTCTTATCAAATTGCATTCGAGGTATATCAGTTACATTCCCTGGGAATCGAACCCATGGCCTTGACGTTGCTAGCACCATGAACTAGTGTTTGAGCTACAGGTTATTGACAAAATTTGGTGTAGTGCAAGACAGTGGTATTTTAGTATTATTTAGTATTTTAGCCTTTATTAATATTTAAAATTAGCTGTTTATATTTTTTGTAATTTTAGATTTAGTTAAGTTTGAGTCATTTTGTTAATATTTTTATTATATTTCTATTTAGCCTAAATGTGTATACATTTTAGTAATTTTAGTGCTTCAACTAAAATTTGATGCATTGACCTGAGTTTTTTTCAATTATTTATATACTATTATAGTATCTATTAATATTTTGAATCACCTTTTTAGGGGCCGAGCACCGATGGTGCGAGGACCCTATTGTAATTGCTCAGTTTGTTCTTCTTCTCCATAATGAATCGCATTTTTGAGGGCCTAAACATGCTCGAAAATTTACGTCTGATATGGGTCTCAGAAGTGGTTGTGGCAAAATAGCTCAAATAGTGCCACCTATAAAATTTCAACGAAGTTCCCCTGGAGCTGTTTTACATGCATGTATGAAAATTGGTAGACTCATGTAACACACCAATACCTACAAAAAAGTCCCCCGGTAAGAAGTCCGTTTTGTGCCAATTTTGCCGTTTTGCGTGGTGTTAAATGAACTCCTAGAGATTTAAACAGATCAACACCAAATTTGCTCAGTGTAATCTAAAGCCCTGTGTGACATTAAAGCTGCAGTCCGTAACTTTTGGCGCTCTAACAGTTAAAGGGTTAGTTCACCCAAAAATTCTGTCATTAATTACTCACCCTCGTGTTGTTCGAAACCCGTAAGACCTTCGTTCATCTTCGGAACACAATTTAAGATATTTTTGATGAAATATGAGGGCTCTCTGACCCTACCACCCAAGGTAACTACCACGTTCAAGGTCCAGAAAAGTACCAAGATGATCGACAAAGTAGACCTTGTGACATCAGTGGTTCAACTGTGAGTGTTTACTATTGTCACCGCCACACGCTCGCGTCATGGTACTGTCGTGAACGCGTGTCCACAAGTGACGCAGTAGAGACGAAAATGTGGAATAAAGTCGTTATTTTTGTTTTCTTTGCACAAAAAAAGTATTCTCGTAGCTTCGTAACTTTACAGTTGAACCACTGATGTCACAAGGTCTACTTTGTCGATCATCTTGGTACTTTTCTGGACCTTGAACGTGGTAGTTACCTTGCTGTCTATGGGAGGGTCAGAGAGCCCTCAGATTTCATCAAAAATATCTTAAATTGTGTTCCGAAGATGAACGAAGGTCTTACGGGTTTGGAACAACACGAGGGTGAGTAATTAATGACAGAATTTTTGGGTGAACTAACCCTTTAATAAACAGAACGGCGTCCATCTTGCGGAAGAACATTGTAGCTGGAGCAACTTCTCTCTGTTTATGTCTATGACGAATCACGCAGGTACTGGGCTACTCCGCAGCGGTACCTACCCGAACCAGTCTAAAATAGTCTGAATATAAACACTTATTATAGGTGTACCGTAGTGATTCAGGACAAGCCAAAAACACGGTTTGGAAAATGGATTCATGGTGTACTGTACTCGCTTATTATATAAATTTGGTAAATTTTGAACACAAAGTTATGGACTGCAGCTTTAAATTGCGAAGATCTTGAGTTTTCATTGAAGGAAGTGGCATGTTTTACTCTCTAACGAACTCCTCCTAGAGATTTAATGACATCAACATTATATTTGGTCAGTCTACTCTAAAGGCCTTTGCCATGTTAAATTGCAAAGATCTTGAGTATTCGTTAAAGGGTTAAGGGTTAAAGATGTTTCACCATGGAAAAGGAAGTTGTTGTAACTCAGCCATTCAATGTCTGATTTGCCCCAAACTTCACACGTTCAATAAGAGTCCTGGCCTGAACACATCTAAACTTTTCAGTTTTCATTTGAATTTTAGTTGAAGTTTAGTAACTTTGTTTAGCTTTAATTTATATTAATTTGAGTAATTTTACTTCTTAATTGATCATTGGTGCATTGATCTGTGTTATTTTAGTTTATTTATTTACTATTATAGTCTTTATTCATATTTTGAATTAGCTTTTATTTTTATATTTCCAGTTTTCATTTTAATTTTAGTTTAATAATTTTGTTACGTGCTTTTGTTATTAAAGGGGTCATATGATGCGATTTCATTTTTTCCTTTCTCTTTGGAGTGGTCACATTATTTCCTCGTTTGATTGCTTTCCTCATCCGCAGTACATGTCAGCGCATGTGTGTGTGTGTGTTTGTGAAGGAACGAGGTTTCCTGGAGCCCAACAGTAAGGAAGACGCTCAGCGGCTGTGGGAAATGGAGAGGCAGTGCGTGCAGGAAACTTTAAGGAGGCAGAAACAGGAAATGCTGGAGGACAACAAGTGGCTGGAGAAAGAAGAGAAGCTTCTGGTTAGTCATCAGTAGCATCTCTCGTTAAAACTGTGGCAATATGCAATCCTCACTGGGATCATTACAATGAGTTTAAGTTTAGAGTAACAAATAAAATGCATTTACTCAGCCGACTGGAGCTTGAAACGACTGTTATATAAAAATAGATTAAAGTTAACATAAAGTCCAAATTGATATTATTTACAGGCTGCTGATTATATTATGCATAATTAATCAGTGCAGAAGAAGACAATATTAGTCTTTCTAATCTTTGATCCAAAAGTAATGACTTGCTCCTCCACTGAAATGACTTTCCTTTTTGGCTGATTTTTCCTTTCCCTATGGATTTCTGTCTTATATTTGATCTTGTTCGTCTTGAAATATGTCACATTCTGAAAGTAAAATGGGTTTCATCATTTCATGTTGACTTTATGCTCATCCTTATGTTGCTCTGTTTCTCTTTCAGGATCCATTTGCCAATGACGACACAAAGGCTAAAGTGGTAAAATACTTCTATATATGAAATATTTCTATTTAAATAGAAGTCTCATTTTTATTATCTTGTCCCATCATGACTTTTGTCTTCCACTGTAATGCACTATAATTACACAACATTAACATCCTTTTCTCTTTTTTATGTTAGATGTCAGAAAATGAGCCAAGCCAAGGTCAGTTCATTTTAACACGCACAAAAATACCTAAAACTATATAAACAAAGATCGATAAACAGATTAAAGGAATATTTCACCCAAAATTACAATAGTTGACATTTACTTGCCTACGTCTATAAAACCTGTATGCTGTTATTTTTTAGCATTGATTAGTATTAGTATTATTTATGTACTATTATAGATTTAAATTTTTAATCTTTTACATTTTTTAGCTTTGAATTATTTTGTGCTTTTGTCATTTTTTTATTGCATTTTTTAATATTTATATTTTTTAAATTTGATTTATTATTTCTTTTATTTTTATAATTATTTTAAATATAATATATAATGTTTTTATTTATGCAGTTGTAGTATTTTAAATTAAACTTATTTTATTTCAGTTACTTGCCAAGACAACAATTTTCATTTTCATTTACGTTTTTAAAGTTGGTTTTTCCTCTCATATTGACATTTTATTTAATTTCAATTTTATTTCAGTTACCGAAAATTGTAGTTTTAGTTAACAATAACAACACTGGCATTGATGCACCTATTCCTTTACTCTTTCTTATTTCAGTCAGTAGCCATTGTTATCTTAATGATCACTTCCATATACCATCTTCAGCTGTCTTTTGACTTTGTTTCTCTCAGCTCCTTCCCAGGCTCCTCCGGAGAAGCCCCCGCGGGTGTCCGCTCAGGTAATTGTGGTTTTAATGCGGTTAGGGACGGGCTGAAGGCCAGCAGAGACTTCTGATCTCTTTTTGAAGCCGCTCAGTAAAGGTGTCAGCCGTCCTTTGGAAGTTTCCAGACGAGCAGATTGCAGCAATCAAAGCGGCGGTTTTACTGGGAGCTCTGTGACTAAAACCTGATGAGCTTTGGGCCTTGTGAGCTCACCTTGATAATGGCTCAGTAGAACGAGGATGAGGGAGGTTTTTTCTGAGATTCTCTCTCCACCAATCTTCAGACTTCAGCCTCTGTGAGCTGAAATGAAACTGATCTCCTGTCTCCGAGCTGCTGTATGCAGTGGCTAATAGTAGCTTTGGTCAGCAGCACCAAATGAGAGTAAAAATGGCTTTGGGGTATAAATAAAATTGAGAGACTGCTGAGTTAGTTTTTTTATTTTTAAAAGAAGTTCAACATGGTTCAGGGTTATTATAGTTTTTTTTTTTTTTACCTTTATTTAACCAGGAAGAAACTCACTGAGATTAAAAATCTCTTTTTCAAGAGTGTCCTGGCCAAGTTAGGCAGCAGTACAACCATACATACATACAGGTACAAAATATAGTAACATAAAACAACTGAAATAGCGAATCCTTTAAAATAAACCACAATCAATAACACATCAGGCAGAACATCTACAGCCAGATGTGACTGCCTCCAAGTCAGTTAACATCCTCTTAAAAGCGACCAATGAGACCAGCGTATTAATTTTCATAGATTTCTGTCATTTGTTCCATGAAGAGGGAGCAGCATACTTAAACGCCTTTTTTCCCAGCTCAGTTCTAACCTTTGGAACAGACTTGAAATATAAACATTAGAAATAAAATAAAAGTGAAATACTAAAAATTGTAAACTTATTTTGTTTCAGCTAGTTGCCAACATTTCTCATTTTCATTTAAGTTTAAGTTCTAAAAAAAATAAAAATAAAACTGAAATAAGTAATGAAATAATTTAAAATGTAATAAAAAAGCCCATAGCAGCTATAAATTATTTTATTTTTATAATAATAAAAAACAGCTTTTATTTCATGTCTGTTATAATTAAGGCCATTCAAATGCTAATAATACTCCTAAAAGTTGAGATTATCTTTGAATTATTGAAATTATCTATACATTTACAGCCTATAAAAAGGAGAATGGGCCAAAACATTTCATCTTGCACCAGTGTTGTTATCATTAATTAAAACTAAAACGTACATATTAAAAATGTGTTAATTAAAACACAGCTGAAATAAAATAAAATATAAATATTAGATAAAAAACTTGAACTTAAAAAACAAAAATGAGAAATGTTGTCTTGGCAACTAACTGAAATAAGTCTAAATTGAAGTAGTAAAATTACTAAAACTAAAAAAGCTAAATAGAAATATTTAATAATGATAAAACAAAATGACTAAATCGTTAACTATAAAATATAAAAATAAAAACTGCTAAAGCTCTGAAATCTGATTTCAGACCATGCACGTTCAGTTTAAGAAAATGTGTTAGTATTTTATTAATATTTATGTACTATTGTAGCTTTTAATTATAGCTTTAAATTTTATTTTTTACATTTTTTAAACACAACAAACTGACTAAAATGTTAACTAAAATTTAAATGAAAACTGAATGTATAGAAATAAAAGCTAATTCTATATATCAACAAAAACTAAGAAAATTATCTTAATACTGAACAGTGTTAGTATTTTATTAATATTTATGTACTATTGTAGCTTTTAATTATAGCTTTACAAAAAATTTACTAAAATTAAAATGAAAACTGAATGTATAGAAATAAAAGCTAATTCTATATATCAACAAAAACTAAGAAAATTATCTTAATACTGAAGCAACACTTACATGATTTAAATCACAAGACAAGAAAGATTCTCATTATGTGTGACCCTGGACCACAAAACCAGTCATAAGGTTCAATTTTTGTATATACATCATTTGAAAACTGAATAAATAAGCTTTGCTTTTCATTGATGTATGGTTTATGATAGGACAATATTTGGCCGAGATACAACTATTTGAAAATCTGGAATCTGAGGGTGCAAAAAAATGTATATACTGAGAAAATCACCTTTAAAGTTGTCCAGATGAAGTCCTTAGCAATGCATATTACTAATCAAAAATAAAGTTTTGATATATTTACGGTAGGAAATTTACAAAATATCTTCATGGAACATGATCTTTACTTAATATCCTAATGATTTTTGGCATAAAAGAAAAATCGATCATTTTGACCCATACAATGTTTTTTTGGCTATTGCTACAAATATACCCCAGCGACTTAACACTGCTTTTGTGCTCCACGGTCACATTTGTTCTAATAAAATCCATGCATCCAATGCATGCAAATCCAACATTAATGCAATGATTTGCTGCATGTATTAGCACTGACTGTTCTGTCCATCATAGCCGGCGCCGACAGCAGAACTGGACCGCACGGATGACATGGTCTATCATAACGTGATGGAGATGGTGAAGGTCGTGATGCAGCTGAAGAACGATGTCAACACGTTACCAGCCTCAGAGTACATCACTGTGGTGAAGGTAGGATGACTTTGAACATTGTATTTCTTAATGCTTAATGTATGGAGTCGTGTTTCTGTGTTCAGTAAGGTCATTTTTGTCTTATTTGGCAGTTGGTAGGAATGACGTTGCGCAGTCTGATCCGCAGTGTGGACGACATCCTCCCGACTCTACATGAGTCCATCAGAATGGAGGTAAAGCATCGTGAAACTAAAGCTATTGTAAATTACTCAACTTGAGCTATATATTCTCAAAGCTTTTTTCCCAAAAATTAAAAAAGTGTAACTGTTACTTTTTATTTCAATTAGATTGTTAAATTGTAAGATTTTCTCATATCGTGAGATAAATGATGACAATCAAGGGCGTAGAATTTAGTAGGGACACTAGGGACATGTCTCACAATATCCAGAAATTACTAAATTGTCCCTAGCAATAATTACTAGTTAGCAGTATACTGGTTACCTCACCTGAATATGTTCGTATTTGTGTTGGAAATTTGAATATTTTATTTGTAAACATAATACTTTTTACACTTATTTCAGTTAATTTCATAAAACTAGCGAGCTAAGCCAGTAGTAGTACTGACAGTGTTATGTAAACATGGCTGAAGGCGAAAAAAAACAAAACAGGAACAGACAAAATTATTCAATTGAGTGAGTCATTTACTCTGGAACCGCTCCGATTGATTCAAACTCCATTCACTTTTAAAAACCAGATCAGAAGAACCATTCATTTTAAAACCATTCATTAGAATCACTTCTAATGATTTTAAAAAGCACGTAGTGATGGGTGAAACAGAGCTTTTCGAAACTCCAAATCAGTTAAAAAACATTGCATCGCAGAATGATTGACTGTTTCAAAGCGCTCCAATTGGATCGCAGATAATTTGATTCAGATCGTGATTTCAAAGCACGTATTGCAAATCATTTGAATTAGATCGGGACTTCGGAGCGCTTATCGCGAGTCATTTGATTCAGATCGAGACTTCGGAGCGCTTATCGCGAGTCATTTGATTAAGATTGGGACTTCGGAGCGCTTATCGTGAGTCATTTGAATTAGATCGGGACTTCGGAGCGCTTAACGCGAGTCATTTGACTCAGATCGGGACTTCGGAGCGCTTATCACGAGTCATTTGATTCAGATCGGAACTTCGGAGCGCTTATCGCGAGTCATTTGATTCAGATCGGGACTTCGGAGCGCTTATCGCGAGTCTATTTGATTCAGATCGGAACTTCGGAGCGCTTATCGCGAATCATTTGATTGAGATCGGGACTTCGGAGCGCTTATCGCGAGTCATTTGATTAAGATTGGGACTTCGGAGCGCTTATCGCGAGGCATTTGATTCAGATCGGGACTTCGGAGCGCTTATCGCGAGTCATTTGATTCAGATCGGGACTTCGGAGTGCTTATCGTGAGTCATTTGATTAAGATCGGGACTTCGGAGCGCTTATCGCGAGTCATTTGATTCAGATCGGGACTTCGGAGTGCTTATCGTGAGTCATTTGATTAAGATCGGGACTTCGGAGCGCTTATCGCGAGTCATTTGATTCAGATCGGGACTTCGGAGCTTGAATTAGATTGGGAATATGGAGCACGTATGACAAATCATTTAATTTAGATCAGAACTTTGGAGCGGGTTCGTGAATCATTCAGGCTTCAAAGCCTGTATCGCGAATCATTTGATTCAGATCGGTACTTCGGAGCGTGTATCGCAAATCTTTTTTCTTTCTTTCTTTCTTTCTTTCTTAATGAAACAGTATGAAACATCAAACCATTAAAGCAGTACAGTTATAAAAACAAAACAAAGAAAAATAAAGTAAGTATACACAGATACAAATCCCTTAAGAAAATGAACCATGGTTTTATTATAGTAAAAGTGTGGTAGTGTAGATTACCACTTGTAGCCTATAACCCAATTTTTTTACTACAGATACCATGGTTAAACTATGGTAAGTGTAGCAAAACCATCATTACTTTGTGGTCACCATGGTAACCATTGTGCTTTTTTAAGTAAAACCATGGTTAATTTTTGTAAGGGATGTGTTACCAGGTTAACAAAAAAAGTAATACATTTACACATTAAGTGGACACATAGAATACAGTTTTTTAGGATGAACAGAGCTTTGGATATTTTCCATATACTTGTCCAGCTCAACTCTGAAAAAAAAAAGAGAGGCAGATTTTAGAGCCAGAGTCATATGTGAAATTTAGCTAGCAGAAAACACAAATTAATTATTATATTTTGATGTATTCTCTTTTGAGTATTTAAACAATCCAAAGAAAACATCTTAAAGGGGTCATATGATGCGATTTCAATTTTTCCTTTCTCTTTGGAGTGTTACAAGCTCTTGGTGCATAAAGAAGATCTGTAAAGTTGCAAAGACTAAAGTCTCAAATCCAAAGAGATATTCTTTATAAAAGTTAAGAGTTAGCCACGCCTACCTAAAACGGCTCATTTTAACACGCCCCCACATGTCTACCTCACTATGTGGGAAGATTTGCATAACGCCACCCAAATGTTCACGCAAAAAACGAAGGCGTAACCTTTATTCTCGCAGTGTAGAGTAGCACTACTGGATAGCTGGCCAATCACAGCACACCTCGCTTTTTCAGACCTATGAACTTTGAGCATTTCAAAAAGGCGGGGCATAGAGGAGAAACAATAATGTACAGTATGTGGAAAATAATGTGTTTTTAACCTTAAACCGCATAAACACATTTCATTACACCAAATACACAAAATAATGTTCTTTTTAGCAGCATCATATGACCCCTTTAAAATGCTGCTGTAATGTTGTTGGTTTTACATAATCAAAATTGTGTATTTATTGTCTGATGAATATGCTAACATAAAAAGCTCTGTTTATGAATTATGAGTTTGTTAGCTACCGTAGCTATAAATAAAGACTTTAGATGACATGAAACTGTGGTCAAAAGTTGATCATAAATGCGAAAATGATGTGTTGTCTGCTGTTATGTCCCCACCAATGTCAAAATCAAACCTATGCCCTAGATAATAATAAATAATAAATGATGAAATTTTAACTTTGAAATGCAAGAAAAACAGTTGTTTCCAAAACTAGAAAAGGTAAATTGCGAGTTTTTGTCTAAGAACTGTGACTGTTTTTCCTCGCAATTTACCTTTTTTATTTTTTTATTCCATGCCAGAAACTAGCTTGACTTTTTCCTCTCAATTGTGAGTTAACAACTTTTAAGAAAGAAAAAGTCAGAATTGTTAGATCGTTTGTTAACATCTCATAAATCTGACTTTTTTTCCCCTCAGAATTGCAAGATAAAAGAATTATGAGATAAAAACTCATAATTGCCTTTTTTTTTTTTTCTGGGATGGAAGAGAATCCATAATATTTCTATACATTAGAAAGTATAAAGTGTTGTTCTGGCTGCTCTCTGCTCGTCAGATTGAAGGAACTCAGAAGTTGCTGAATAAGGATCTGGCCGAGCTGATCAGTAAGATGCGTCTGGCTCAGCAGAACGCCGTCACGTCTCTGAAGGACGAGTGTAAGAAACAGATGCTGGCGGCCGCTCACACGCTGGCCATGGACTCCAAAAACCTGCTAGACGCTGTGGACCAGGCCCGAGTGCGGGCCAATGTGGCCAAACCCGCCACACCCTAGATCTGATCCCTGATTGGCCGTCAGACAGACGGTTTCATCCAATGAGAAAGCTGAAGGATGAATTGAACTGAAATGAACTGGTACAACTTGCTTTATTTATGCTTCTGGATGATAATGAAAGCAGTGCTTTCGACATTGAATGTTTGCAGATGTATTTTCACAAGTGTTTGCTTGTAATCGTTTTCATAGATGTTTATTCTCAGGAAAGTTTGTGGGAGGAAATAAATACAGTTTTGTCATGTCATTTTCTGCAGTTTTGTCATGTCAGAGCAGTAACTTATTTAATTCTCTAAACTTTACAAGTATGTTTTTATAGAAAATTAATGCAACATCAATATAATTTGTATTTTTATACAGTACAACTCATTTAGAATCACAAGAATACTTTTAAACGCTTAGTGTTTTCAGAGCCTATATAAATTATGAATGTTGCACATTAAAAAAACGACATTTTCAATATATTTTTAAATTTCATTGAGAGTTCACCATTTGACAACTGAAATACCATGTCCAGTCAGTTTGGATTACTAAATAAAGATTTGTAAAATTATTTATGTTATAATACAAAAAAGTCATAAATGCAAGATATACATTTAGAATTTTTTTCTTATAATTGCAAGTGAACATTTCGCAATTTTTTTTTTTTTTTTTTTACTCACAATTGCTAGACAAAAATCTGGATTGGTTTAGTGTTTATTTTTTTCAGCATCTCTATAAATTATACATTTACATTTTTTTTTTTTCATTAAAATATATTCAAAGTTCAATATATTTTCATTAGGCCTATGTTTTGAAAATGTATTTAGAGTTCACATTTTGACCAATATTTTATTATTATATGTTAACATATATTTTAATATTATGTTAACATTTTAATCAAATATTCTTATGAAAATGTAAATTTTTAATGTTTTTTTTATTTAGCCACGTTTTAATTGGCTATTTAATTTTTTTATAATTTGTATTTAATTGCACATTTCATGGCAGTGTGATTCCTGGACATAAATCAGAAGTTTTGCTGAACCATCAGCAGAGGGCGACATCGCTTATATCGTCTCATTTATCATTAGCCTGTTAAGGACCTTATACACAGCTGTAAAATGAAGCTATTATGGGATATGTGTGTCAGATAGAGTCAGTTTATTAATTATTAAGTAAACCGACTGAGACATTTTAATATAATGATTAATTCCCGATTACAGCAGATCTAACATTTTGGCTTTAATTGCTCTTCATGTTTGGCAAAACACTATTTTAGTTCAGTGGTCATTTCAAGTAGTAAATGTCATTTTTCTCTCAGGTCCCATTTAAAAGTCATTGACCCACATGGTTCACAGACCCGACTTGCGTAATTGCACGACCTCCGCAGTATCAAAAGCATTGCGTTTTCAAAGACTTGACAAAGTTATAAATAAATAGGAGTTGCCTTCTGACCTTGGAGATAATTGCTGTTGAAAGCGGCACAAAATGCAATCTATGATTCATTGAACGGTTGGATAAAGGGTAAAGAGTGAACTGAATTGAACTGCCACCCGTCAGGGTCACATAAGCTTTGCCTCTTTCCAAAAGGTTAATTTTGCATATTGCGGTGCTGACGGTCCCGCTCTTTATGCATGGAGACGATAGGACTCGGGCACAGTTTGATAGTGGTAAATGTCAGGCATTCAGCGAGAGGTGACTTGTGTTTCCTGTGTTGTAACAATGAACTGCATTCTCAAATACTGGACGAGCGGGTATCTCTCATCAAAGGAAGAGATTAAATAAAAAGACCTTTTTTCATATGACAAATGTTTGTAATGGTCCCTGGAAAAGGCCTTGGCTTCCATCAGGGAAGTCTTTATCGGAGCTCTTGATGTCGGTCTGTATCTCGGCTCTCAGATCATTCCTGATATCCAGGGAGGTAAGAAGAGGCCGACCGTCCCCAGCAGACACACGATGATGAACATCCACAGAAAGATACGGTCAATCACCATTGCCACGTATTTCCAGTCCTCCTTGACCTGTTCAAAAGCAAATACACGGTGCGATTCAAAAGCGGTCAGAGCAGGAAAACTAGAGTGGAAAATGTCATGTGAACAGCGTAATGAGGGCAGTGACAATGAAACAGGATAGTAGACTGTCAGTCTAGTTAGAGAAGAAACATGATATAATATTCACTACAAAGGGTTTAGCATTTAATTAATCAGCCACTTTAATTTCCACTTTATTCTTTTTTAAAAGAGTAATTGTAAGAATAGATAATTATTAGAAATGTTATTTCTAACTACAACTTGTTTTCTACAAATCATGTCTTTGTATCGTTTTTTAAATTATTTTATGTATTTTATTACTTTATTTCGCATACATGCAACTTTATATCTTACAATTGCATTGCATGGCAGGTTATTTTAGTATTTTTATATTTTCAGTAATCAATGTTAGCTTCATTTTGTTATGTGCTCTAGTCATTGTAATTTTATTTTTCACAACTACAACTTGATAAATGAGATACATAGGCATGACTATGATGTAAATGATAAATATGACAAAAATGCAAGCTTTTGTCATAATTTTGTCTTTTATCTCAGAATTTTCGCTTAGTATGTCAATGTCAACTTCCTTATGATTTTGATTATATGTCAGTTTTGACATTTATCTCAGTTTCAAACTTTTATCTTACGATTTCTACCTTTTAATCGTAATTATGACTCAGTATGTATATATCTCATAATTTGACATTTTTTGTATTAATTTTGACAATTACTTGTCATAATTTTAACTTGTATCTCATAATTTTTACTTTTTAATGCTTATCTACTTTATCTCATAATTGTGACTTACAGTACAGTAGTGTCATAAGTTTGTTTTATCTCATTATTTGTACTTATTTCATAATTTGACTTATGTAGTAATTCAATTTATCTTATAATTATGACTTAGTGTCATAATTTTGACTTTCTATCTCATAATTGATTTTTTTATCTCATGATATATATATAGTTCAGTCATGAAACTCTAGATGGCACATTCTGACGGGGTGTTAATGTAATTGATGATATTCAGAGAGTTAAACGACTTGGCACAGGTATTACAGAATCTCAGTTAGTCCCTCTGTTGTAATACCGAATATTCCTCCTTGGTTGCATCCTATGCCTCAAGTAGATTTTCATCTACAATATATGGTTAAGAATGAGAAAACGATATCTAAGGAGGTTGTTGTTCAACAATATCTAGATCAAAATGACTCTTCAATGCTCCATATCTTCACAGATGGTTCTAAAGATCCTACATCAGGAAAGTCAGCTGCAGCTGTATATATCCAAAGATTACAAGTCAAAGTTCAGAAAAGGATAACTAATTTTGTATCAGTCTTTACAACAGAGCTAATAGCAATTGTATTCGCTATTCAATGGGTGGAGGAAGTTAAGCCTACTAGGGTAGTCATTTGTACAGATTCCTTGTCAGCTTTAAATAGTTTAAAAAGTGAACAATCAACATCAAGAAAGGATTTAATCTATGAAGTACTTATAAATCTGCTTAGGATTCAGGAAATTGGTATAGTCCTGAGGTTCCTATGGGTACCTGCACATGTAGGAGTACTAGGAAATGAAATAGTCGATAAACTGGCCAAACAAGCAATGAAACATATGAACGTTGAGGTACAAATTCCACTGAGTAAAGTAGACATAAAAGGAAGAATTAAAGAACACGTGAATAAAAAGTGGCAGGAAATGTGGGACAAGGATTTAAAGGGCAGACGCCTTTACAATATCCAAAAACAAGTTGGCAAAGGGAGAGGATGCTTTAACAATAGAAAAGAAGACATAATAATTACTCGACTTCGAATAGGACATTCTGGTTTAAATCATTCATTATTCCCAATAGGGAAACATCAATCAGGATTATGTACTACATGCAGTGAAGCAGAGACTATTGAGCATGTACTTCTACATTGAGCAGTATATACCAAAGAAAGAGAGGAGTTATTTAAGAAACTGAGAAACATAGGAGTAATTAATTTCACTATCTCTTAAGTTGTGCCTCAGGACAGACAAGTATTATGAGAGAAATTCTTAGTTATCTGAAGATAACAGGATTAGAAAGTAGAATTAAAATGTCATAATAATAGTACCGGTTGGTTTATTTATTTATGGAAATTGGGGTTTTTTTCTTTCCCTCTTTCCCGGTAATGCTTCACACTCCAGTCCAGTTGGTGGCGGTAATACACCATAAGTTGGCTTGTCAACCGCCATTAAATCGTACAAGAAGAAGAAGAAGAAGACTTGGCACAAGCTGATTGGTTCATGCTGCATATGCAGCCAATGAGCTTACTGCCTTGCATTTATATAGCTGGCTAGCGTTCACTTGAGATTCCTGCAGCGCGCTTTCAGAGTTCTCTGAATCTCAACAGCTAGATAAATAAATGGTTTTCACTCTGTTTTCTGTGCATTATTGCATTTGTCAGATGTATTGTTTATATAACAGCAGTAGCATTAGCAGCAGCAGCAAGCACTTTTCCTAGTTCATGTATGTGAGAATACAACGTCAAGCGCCGCGGATTTTAGAACAGTAAAGTGAATTGGGGATTACCTTATTTCCCCGAAATCTCCAATGCATTTAATATCTTCTGTGGGCATTAATTTCTACATTAAAGGGGTCATATGATGCTTTTTTAAAGATCATTATTTGGTGTATTTGGTGTGACAGAATATGTTGAAATGCTTTAATGTTCAAAAAACACATTTTTTTTCAAATACTGTAAATTATTGTAGTTCCCCTTGGCCCCGCCTCTCTCAAACGCTTCGTTTTCTACAAAGTCCCTCCTTCCGACAAGCGCAGTCTGCTCTGATTGGCCAGCTGACCCAGTGCATTGTGATTGGCCGAACCCCGCAAGCACTCGTCGGAAATGTAACGCCCCTTACCATAATCGCCAGCTTCATCTTTCAAAATAAAGGTAAAGACAGAGCACGAAAGGGGAACAGAGTCGCGTGACAGACACAGTGATGAAGCTGGTATGTGTTTGCAGCACACAAGCCACGGTTAAGACAGCTGACTCCACTGTGATGTGACCCTCTCTCTCTCTCTCTCTCTCTCACTCTCTCTCTTTACACACGATGTGCAAAACTCCGCATTTGAACAGTCAATAGCAAATACTTAAACTAATAACAAAACAGTAGCTGATTCAGAAGCGCCAGATTGTCATAGCAAAGTCAGAATGACCTCCTCATCTCCTCATCCTCCTCATTCATTTTATGGACGTTCACGAAACGTCCATAAAATGCATTGCTGTTCTGTTGTAAGTAATCTTAAAGATTCCTAAATGCATCTACTTTCGGAAG